AGACTTATTTTTCCTGTCAGCCTTCCTGCTGCTTCTGTCACATTCTCCATCTTGCTCTGTCTCCCTTGAATATCTTTCTGACCTCAGGAGATTTCCAGTTTGACATATTTCTGGCCCCTTGCTGTAGTAGTGCTTCCCCTTTCTTAAGTTACTCCAAGTTTCTTGGAAACAGTTTCACCCTGTTGTTTTCTGAAGCCAAACCCCAAACTTTTCTGCTCACAGTTCCCAGAAATATCTGAATTCATGCATGATACTCTTAGTAATAACACAGTCCCCACAAATGGTGAGGTCTGTGGGGAGCTGCTGGGGAGGTACTGATGCTGGAAAAGCTTTCCATTTCCATGTGCTAATGCTTCATTCCCTCTCTAACATCTTCACCCTGCTCACCCTCACCTCCATTTCTCTCAAGTGCACTGTAAATGCATAAGTCTCAGATTTACTTAGGGAGTACTGTTTGTATGTTTCATTCTCTGGCTGTTAAAATACATCTGCTGGGAAAATATCTAAACCTCCCTGATGGCATTGTTTACTGCTGTGCTATGTAAGTAGGGGGAGAAAAAGGGAAGACTCCCGAGGGCAAAGATGTATCCCTTGAATGAGGTTAATGTCATTAGAAGGCATGAAAGAAGTGAGCTGATGTAGGCAGGATCTAATGAAATGTGTGGAAGCCTGGAAGGTGCATTCAAAACCTTTAGCCACCCCTGAGTGCTAGGAGGGGGATAGCCATATAGTCTGAAATTGAATCTGCTTTCTGGAAGGCACATACCGAGTGTCATGGTTAGTAGTGCCTGCTGACTACAAAAATAAAAGTGATTTTCTATTATCAACTGTAAATGCATTGCCCTTTAGAGTTGCTAGGTTCCTCTTGTTCTAACTTGGTGACTCATCCCACATTCCCCCTGTGTTAACAGCCTAGCGTGGTTGGCATAGGCTCCAGTGCAAGGAATGAGATGAGGCCCCCTGCCCAGTCAGCTGCCAGTGCTTGGCCTTTCTTCTCATCTTCAGTCCCACTGACTCGTGCCTTGCAGCTTGGGGCTGCAGGTACAGGCTCCACAGCTATAGACTGCATAGGCTTCCACTGGTGCCAACAGCTACAGGCTGGTCCCTGCTCTGCAGCTGCAAGTAGCATGTGCTCCACCAGATCTTTCTGTTCTGAGCTGAGAGTGGCCAACCAGGGCCACCCTTTGATGGGGCACACAGCTCGGGCTGTAGCAAACACTTTTGGCTAAGACAATGCATGTCACAGGAGGGCGGGAGGTGCATGAAGAAGGCCAGGCACAAGTCCCGTACCATTCTGGGTTGCAACAAGCAGTTTTACAAAGTAGAGTGGTAGGAGAGTATCTGTGGCTCTGTTTCCATTTTCACTTGTGTCCTGACAGCAGCAGTGTCCTTCTGCCTTAGAGTCTGGAGGAACTGAGGTAAAAGGCTCCATCAGTTACAATACAGTTCCTCTATGAATTCGATGCAAGTATTCCATTAGACCCACCAGCTGGATAGGGTGTCTCATTTTTGATGCAAAGTTTAGGACAGGTCTAAAGGAGAAGCTGCTGTTTGTGAGTGGCAGATTAGAAGCTGATGTGGAATATGAATATGGAACTCTGAATGTGGAAAGGCATGGTGACATGCTGGGGAGATTGCAGAGTATTGCCAGTAATGCTGTAGAAGTTTGAAATGGCAGAAATTTGACTTTTCTACTTGTCTTCTGTGTAATACCGTATTGGTTTTATTTTCCATGTCCTTCCATGCAAATTTTGCCCCCCCTCCCTGTCTTGTGTGACTGATGTATTTGCTTCTGCTTGAATGTGCTCAGTCATCTTTAGGATACTACAATAAAAGATAGGAAGGCACAGCCCCATGTTCTGCAGGATGTACTCTGCTTGCTTCATGTTCTTTTAAGTATAACTGACTGAGGCATGTGAGAGATTACTGGGAAAAATAATAAAAAAAGCATTAAGTGACTCCATGATAATCAACTGAATTGTCTGAAAATGCACAGCTGCAATTGGTAATATTGCATAAAAATGTTCTTGTAAAGTACTTGTTGGAGTAATCTTTCAGCTGTAACTGTGTGCTGCGAATCTTTGTTTCTGCTGTTGCTACTAAAAGGGTGACAAAATCGAATGTGGCATAGGGACACAGTATTAGAAGAGATATTACACGCCTGTGATCTTGTAGCCATTTAAGTTTTTGAATTCCAAAGACAAGCTTTCCATGCTATGAAATTGTCCCCAGATTTTCAGAAGGATATTGCTGGAACTTTAATTGTGAGTCTGTATGTGGACATTATTTAGTTACTGTTTTAGCCCAGATTGTGAGAAGTCTGTAAATCTGAGTGTTCATTGTTAATAATTAATTGTCAGTTTAGTATTTGGTTCAGAGACAAAATGAAGAGCTTCTGAGCAAGAGAAGATGCCATTGTGCATTCTTGCCATCAAATTGAAGAGAGAAGAGGAAGACAAGAGGCACGTTTACACTTCTAAAGTCTGCACTGTCCTCAGCGTGTTTCATGAAAGCTCCAAAGACCTTCATATAAAGTGAAACTATTTGCAGTAGTCACTGCAGTAAAATACCAGTGTATCATTCATGTAATTTGACTCTCATGATCCTTTAAATATTGCAGTATTTCTATAGTATAGAAATATGCATAATAAATAATATTTCTAAGGAGTATGGAAATAAAAGTCTTACGACAAATGCTGAAGGCAGATCAAATTACTCATGTTCATATTAATATTTAGCATCCAGAAAAATGGGAAAAATGGTTTCTGCAACATCTGTTGAATGGAAAAAAATGAAAATATGGTGAGTTGGTAGTGCTAGGCAATTTGTGTGTTCTGACACAAACTTTTAAAAATATGCTTCTGATGTGCATGAAGGCAAAAAATAAGAGTCACTAGTTTAGATTTAGAAGTTCAGAAAATGTGCTCATGAAAAGCCTGTATGCAAGTATAAATGCATTTATACTTGAGTACCTCAAGATAGATTCAGTGTTGTTATTTTCAAGCATTTTGTGAAATGTAATCACTGGCATATTCCTTTTGCTTACCCATACACAATACTGTTTTAATAGCTGGCACCCATTTCTGACAGCTGTATTTGGAAGATTGAGTCATTGCTCTAGCTTTCTACATGCTTCATAGTTGTAAAAAGGAAGAGACAATATTCAAACCAAACATTTTAATTATTTACTTTCATCATGTTTTTCTTTCTATAATTTTTTTCTCGGCTTCTTTTTCCCTTCAGAATTGGTTGAACCTGGGAGAAAAAAAATTAATGAAACAAAAAATTTTCCTAATAGTAGCAACAGCAAGTCAAATGAAAGATTTTCGATGAACTGTATTTATAATTTTGGTAGCTCGTCTGTTTTCTAGCAACAATCCATAGGCTTCAAAGTTATCTGAAAAGACTGTGAGAAGAGAACCAGGTAGACAGTCGATCATCCTATCATCAGATCTTGAGGTAGAAATCTCAGTTAACAGAATGCATTTTCTGTACATTTTGTAACATTTGAAAGCAGATCTTGTAATTCTCAGTGAATAAGAAACGGCTAACTATAGTTTGTGCTTTGTGACAGTCATCAAAAGGTAACTTGTGCTTACTTTATAGGTTGATAATTTCATGGCAGGAGTCTTTATTTTGAAAGTTAAAATAGTTCACAAAAACAAGCTAAATAAATAATCTATTAATCCTTTGCTTTTCTGAATTTATTTGGAACCCCACTTCTAAGTAATCATTAAGGGCCTCACATGAGTGACCAGAAGAAGGTCATCCGTATATGAAGGAACAGCTCTTTATGGAAAGGAGGCAGGTAGTGACACGTCCTGTGCTGCTGCTTTTCCACACAAACAGTAGAACTATCAAATCTTCATCAAACTAGAGTAGGAACTCTGAGGTTGAATTCCCAGTCTGTATTTAGATGGGCAGTGGGAAGGATTCAGTGTTCTGACTCTCCCTCCTTTTCCCTCCCCCACATCCCTTCCTAAACTACTGCTCAATAGTGGTGATGGTGGTGGTGTTTCATTTTTGTAAAGCGATGTTATTAAAAAACCCCAAAAATTTGCATTATCCCTTTAAGCTCCATATGCAGCTGCATCAGTTCTCATCTGTGACACTAATCTCCCCTAATTTTTTAATGTCTGCCCTTTTCCCCCAAATTGGAATTCTTGTGTACTTCTTTGTAAATACATTTCTGGTTGGCTCCTAGATTATTTATGTTAAGCTGTAACTGTAGCACCTCTGTAGGGGATAAAGGCAAGGTTTTGAAATTGGAACTTTGCAGTGGAACTGCACGTAATACCAAACACATTGAGTCAGTGTTTAATAACACCACCTGAAAGGGTTTTTTTGCTTTAAGAATAGTGGGAACTTCCCATGCTCAACAGTGCCCTGGGAAACACACCCTCTTTATCTGGAATAGCCAAGGGGTAACTAATGGCTGAAGGAGGGGCAATGCTTTCTGCGGGGCAGGACATCCAAGGGTGTCTTGGTAATAGAGGTGTCACTGCAAGAGACTGCAAGACCTAACGTGTAGTGATACTTCTGATTGCACTGAAAGGCTGCTCGGAGAAAGGCAGTCTCCTGCTGTTCTCTTTCATGCTAATTAAAGCCCCAGCCCTACAAACTGCATCCATAAACTATACTGGTATCTGTGGGGTTTTGCTGGTTTGTTTGTGGGGATATCTGGAAAGGTTTGATACCAGGATCATAGCCCAATGCTATGCTTGGGAGCTTTGCAAATCACTGTCATGGCTGTGTTCTTGCTTTACTGTGAGTATACAGGCCACTGGGGTTAAATGGGCCAGGGTACAATATATTTTGTCAGTGCTCCAGATTAGCATGCAACCAACTTGCGTATGTGTTTTTCTCTGCAGAAAAATATGTTTCATACTAGAACTTTATCATTTCTATCCTATACATATATACCTATATGTGTTGTGTTTATATATTAATTTTCAAAGATTTACTACATTCAGAGTACTCTGGCTTTCTTTTCCACCTAGATCGGCAGATTGGTTATTGGACAGAATGGTATCTTATCCACACCTGCTGTTTCATGTATCATCCGAAAGATCAAAGCAGCTGGTGGGATTATTCTAACAGCTAGCCACAGTCCTGGGGGACCTGGAGGAGAGTTTGGAGTCAAGTTTGAGGTTTCCAATGGAGGTAGGGTTTTTTTTAATAGCACACTACAACATTGCATCTTGGTATGCTGAAAATATACTGACAAGGGTAACTAGCAACTTTAACTATGTGTTTTTCATTTACTCTGTTAAAACTATGAAGAACATATGCATCACCCTTTCCTTTTTTCTTTTTTTCCCCCAGTAATAGGAGTGTATTCATTTACATGGGTCTGTAAAATAAGCATTAAATGTTCAATGAAGTCCTTGTGGTAGCTGTAAGATGTTTATAAACAAGAGGCTTGCCATCCTGCTTTATAGTATTTCATCTAGTCTGCCAGATCACTGTAACAGTTCCGATCCTTTTATAACGATGCCTATGAGGGAGCTCTGTTTTGATCATATTTCTGTGTTGCTTGTCTTGGCATTTACTTTAAAGCATTTAATTTCAGAAGTGCTGTAAGCTGTATAACTAATTTTCTTGTATGGAAGAAAGCACTTCTTATGTTTACCCAGTTTTATACAAGGAGGGAGTTGTACCATTTTAACTACTGCAATTCCATGGCTGAATAATGGAATTTGTGTATATAGCTAATGTGTTGTTTTCCCCAACTGACAAGCTAACACATGTAATATGTTATACATTGTGTATGTTTTACATTATAGGTCTGTGTACTCCCATAAAACATCATAGTGACAGTTACCGACACGTTGTAGTGTGCTTTCCATCTGAAAAAACTGATCTGGAAGTGCTTTAAAAATGTTTTCTTCCCCAGTTTGAAGGTGGGAGGACTTGTGAAGGGAGTGCTTCTCCCTTGTCCCTTGTTTAATTGAAAAATGTGCATGGTCAAACGACTGTGATTTTATAAACAGAATAGGCTTGAATCCCAGAGAGATTAAAGGGACTGTGTAAGGTCAGCCAGAGAGAAAGCCAGGGTCACAGCACACACATACCAGAGCCAACCCATTAGATGCATTAGCACTTTATAAACTTTAAAACACCACATACACCTAAAATCTGTTTGATAAATGAGTAACAGTTGGTGTGCATGCCTTTTAGTGTGCTTGGCCTTTTTAAAGAAAATTCAGAAAGGCTATTTAGCTTTGTATAGGAAACAGTCCACAAACACAGGTCATAAGGTTCAATTATTTATATTAATCAGCAGGGACATAATGAAAAGTACTTGGTTTTAGTTGCAGCTGAGAAAATGCTGGTTAAGTATTAGGCAAGGCTTTCAAACTTGGAGAATGGTTAGGCACAGCAGCAAGTTCCTAGGAATGCTATTGTTGCTCTGTGTTCTTGCTCAGTCTATTTTGCAGATCCTGGTCAAGCAGAAGTGGTTTGTTTCTATAGCTCTAGAAAAGAATGTTGAGTGCCACTGTGGGATGTCCTTAGCTGGAAATATCAGTAGAAAATACATCCATCTATCAAGGATGATCTGGAGCTAATGAAACCCGTCCTCAACTTTTGGATGGGTTTGGATTAGATGCGTAAGAAGTAATTTTTTAAGACAAATGAAGAGTTAAGTGAGTGTTACTTCTTGTATTGCTTTGAACCATCTGGTACACCGTGTCTGAGATGGATCAGACTCATTTATGTGGCATAGCTGCACTGCACTAGAGGAGTGGAAAGTTAGCACTGTAAAAACCTCCAAAGAGGCTTTGGATTAGGAGAGGAAATTCATAAAAGAGGGTATAGGAAGTCATTTTTCAGGGTGAAGGTGTGCCTTTAATATGAGCTATGAAGAGTCAGATAAGCAAGAAAGGACTTTTGTTGTAACTCAGTCTCAACTCTTGCACTACATACGGCGTAGTTCATCTGGTAATTTTTTGCATCAAGCCCTTGTATTTTATTTGATTGACAGTAAATCTTTAAAAATAGAGCCATTTTCATTTTGGCAATGAAAGTAATTCACAATTAAGATGTGAATGGCATAACTGTACCAGGTTGTAATTGCTAATTGTTAAGCAATTAAGGTATTTTGAATTCCAACAACGATAATTGTCATTAAGCCATTGGAGAAAACTGCAATAGAGCATCATTATTAAGCTGGTAAGACTTTTAAAATTATAATTTTATCTAATAAAAAATCATAGAATCATAGAATAATAGAATGTTCAAGGGTTGGAATGGACCTTGAAGATCAGTTGTAATTGCTAATTGTTAAGCAATTAAGGTATTTTGAATTCCAACAACGATAATTGTCATTAAGCCATTGGAGAAAACTGCAATAGAGCATCATTATTAAGCTGGTAAGACTTTTAAAATTATAATTTTATCTAATAAAAAATCATAGAATCATAGAATAATAGAATGTTCAAGGGTTGGAATGGACCTTGAAGATCATCTTGTCCCACCCTACCCTTCCTCGTAAAAAATTGCTTCCTAATACCTAATCTATATTTCCCCTCTTTCAATTTGTAGCCATCACTCCTTGTCCTATCACTGTGAAGAGTCCCTTTCCAGCTTCCCTGTAGACCCCTTCAGATACTGGAAGATTGCTATGTGAAACACAAAGCCTCTGACCTTCACAAGTGTGCACTTGCAGAAAGTCCTGTGAAACACCAGAAACTTTCCTTCAGGCTTTCCTTCAATATCTATGTTGAGATTCCATGTAGACTAAAAAAAGGCAGTCTTTGAGCAATAAACCCGAAGAAAGATGGCTGGGTTTTTTTGATTCTCTCATCCTCCCTGCCCCTGGATAATGATTGATTTAAATACTCTATGTGAATCAAAATGTTGTCAGTAATGCACTGTATTTCCATGTTTGTTTTTTTTAAAAAAATGTTTTAAACCTGTATTACAGTGAAAGAACAGAGCTTATTTACTATAGTACTTTGTTCATGTTTATTTCTCAGTAACTTTAATATATTCAGAAAAAATGTTTGCTATAGCACTCACTTTTAAAATAGGGGGCCTTCATTTAGAAGAAATGACCCACCACATTATTTTCTTTCATAGGACCTGCTCCAGATATAGTTTCAGAAAAAATCTATCAAATCAGCAAAACCTTGGAGGAATATGCAATTTGTCCTGATCTCAGAGTTGATTTATCACGCCTAGGAAGACAAGAATTTGATCTGGAGAACAAGTTCAAACCTTTCCGAGGTATCAATGTGTGCTTTTCTGCATGATAAATCCACTGATTCTAAATATTAGAACTGTTGCAGAGTGACAATGGGTAATTATATTAGCAATTTTAGTTCTTCAAAATGCCTCTTTCAAAGTTCTCAAAATATTAGGCAGTATAGAATCATGGAATGGTTTGGGTTGGAAGGTACCTTTAAGATCATCTAGATTCAACCCTCCCTGCCATGGGCAGGGACACATTCTACTAGACCCAGGTTGCTTAGAGCCCCATCCAACCTGACCTTGAATGCTTCCAAGGATGAGGCATCCACAACTTCTCTGGGCAACCTGTTCCAGTGCCTCTGCACCCTCTGAGTAAAGAACTTCTTCCTAATTTCTGATCTAAATCTCTCCTCCTTCAGTTAAAAACCCTTCCCCCTTGTCCTATCACTATCTGCCTGTGAAGAAAATCACAGCTGCCTTTTTAGGTAAGGATGGCTGCTATAGGGTCTCCCCAGAACCTTCCCTTCTTCAGGCTGAACAACCTCAGTTCTCTCAGCCTGTCTTCATAGGATAAGTGCTCCAGCCTTCTGGTCATCTTTGTGGGACCCCTGGAATTGCTCCAACAGGTCTACATCTCTTTAGTGTTGAGGGCCTCAGAGCTGGACTCAGCACTGCAGGCAGGGTCTCACAAGGTCAGAGTAGAGGGGCAGAATCACATCCCTCAATCTGCTGGGCATCCCTCTTTTGATGCAGCCCAAGATGCATTGGCTTTCTGGGCTGTGAGCACACATTGCTGGCTCACGGACAGCTTTTCTTCCATGAGAATCTCCAAGTCCTTCTCCACAGGGCTGCTCTTAATGAGTTCTTCTCTCAGTCTGTACTCTTGTCTGGGATTACCCTGACCCAAGTACAGCTTCTTGCAATTAGACTTGTTGAACCTTGAGGTTCCCATGGGCTCACTTCTCAAGTTTGTCCAGGTTCCTCTGGATGACATCCTATCCTTCTCTTGTGTCAACTGCACTGCTCAGTTTTGTGTCCTCTGAAAACCTGCTGAGGGTGCACTCTATCCCGCTGTCAATGTCATTGATAAAGGTATTGAAGAGCACTGGTCCCCAAACAGAGCCCTGAGGGGCACCACTCCTCACAGGCTTCCACCTGGATATAGAGCCATTGACCACAAATCTCTGGCTGTGTTCATCCAGCCAATTCCTTATCCACTGAATAGTCTATCTTTCATAGCCATGTCTCTCCATTTCAGAGATAAGATGCCATGTGGGACCATGGCATTACAGAAATGTGGGTAGATGGCATTGGTCAGTCATATATAATCTGCAAGATTAAAGCATCTGATGGAATTATTCGAGCAGCTAACTGCAGTCCCGGGAGACCTGGAGAAAAATTTGGAGTCAAGTGTGAGGTTGCCAATGGAAGTAGGGTTTTTTTAATAAAGCAAAAGGTCTCGTTAGTAGGCTCCCATGATCAGGCAGCCTGTAGTAGATCCCCACCACCAGTTATCATTTGTTGGTCTGCTCCTTGATTTTCACCCATAGACTCTCTACTTTTCATGCTGTTTCTCAGAGGCAGCTCTTCACAATCTATCCCTTCCTTAACAGAATGCAACACCTCCACCCCTCCTTCCCAGCCTGTGTCTTCTGAAAATCTTGTAACCCTCAGTTGCGGTGCTCCAGTCATGTGACTTGTCACGTCACGTTTCCATGATAGCAGCTGGGTCATAGTTTTCTAATTGTACCATGGTTTCCAACTCTTTTTGCTTGTGTCCAATTCTGTGTGCATTTATAGGTAAGTGTTGTGTTTGTTTTGCACATAAGGAAGCTGAGTTACAGCCTCTTAAGTGCATCAGGTCTCATCTTTTAGCCAATTATCTTTGCCAGATATACATGCTTATGCTTGCTGTTAGGTAAACACAAACCTTTTTGGACTTGGAATGGTTTGCTTATGGAAGGCTAATTGACAGAATTCGTGAGAGTCTCAGTTTATTCATTCTTTGCTCACACTCTCTGCAATGTGAAGTTGTGGGATGTGTAAGGCACTATATATCCAGTGACTCCAAATGTAAAGGCAATGCTGAAGCACATACTTGATTTTAAGTATGTGTATACTTTTATGCCTACACTTGATTTAAAATGATCTAATACAGTCATTTTCTTGAAGGAGTTGAAAGCAAAGGAAGGAGTATTGACATGTACTTTTCATATATTCGAATTCTATAAAACTGTGTGGCCTTAAGAACTCTTCCTCGTTCCTGATGTCCTACAGTTAAAGCCTTTTATTTTCTACCAAACTTTATGTTTTGAGACAATTTACAATTTGACAAATAAAGTTTTTTATTCAAAAAGCCCTTAAATTATGTTTTGGTTGTTTGAGTTTTGTTTTCCATTTATTGCAAAGAACATGTTTGGCTTTTTTAGGCAAAAAAAAGCAAGGAAAATTCAGCTCCAACATCGCTCTGGAATCATAAAATTGCCACAGTTTTAAATTTTGCTTTTTCAAGTTTTTATTCTCTCCAAACTGTATTTTTCTAAATAAAAATGAGACCCCCCCTCCCCCCTACATGTAGTTTCTCCATGTTTTTCTAAGAAAAAATAATTTCCCAATCATGTATTTCAAGAATATGTCAACCTGAGACAGTAAAGCTACCAGGGAACCCTACTAAATCAGTGTAATTAGCTTATAAGTGGAGGATTACTATAGGTTAGTATATTGGATTTGAATGCAATTGAAAGTGAAGAAAGAATGAAAAAAATTTAAAAGGTAATTTAAGATACTATATGATGTATTTAAAACTTCCACTTTTTTAGTTGTATGAGCCAACTCCTTTGAATCAAGACTACAGCAGTGTTGAAGCAAGTGAGAGTAAACCTAGTTAAAACCTAAGATGAAAGTCTTATGTTTTGACTGTAATCCTACATGCACTTTGTTTTAGTATGTGCGAGCAGCTCCACTGGAGTTGGCACATTTATTCATATGTGTAAAGCTTAGAGCCTATTTAAATCCTGTTAGGAGCAGAGCATAGAAGATATACAATAATACAATTTTAGTGAATGCTTGAGACTTTTGACCTATGCCGTAGAACTGACTCTTTGTTGAATAGATTTTATGGATTATTTTTCAGCTTTGAGAACCTTTTTTTTTTTCTTCATTCAAGCTCATTTACACAATGTATTCTAAGTGTTTTTGTCAGGCTCAAAAAATGTCTGTCATTTTCATGTTACCCAAAAGAAGGGCATTAGGGTAATATCAGTGTTTCTGAGCAAAACTGAATGACATTCTAATTAATAATTTAACTTGTAGCTGAAATATTTCAAGATACTCATTTAACCAGATGAAAAGACATTTGTGTAACATATGCTTTTAAATTTAATGAGGAAAAGTAATTCATTCCAAGATGACTGAGAAGCATGGCTTTTGACAGTTATTTGGTAACTGCTTTAATTATGAAGGACTTATTTTCACTAATTAATTTTAGTGTAATGTTTTACATCCTTAAGAACTAGAAAAATTGTAGTGCTCTGCTTTTATAAATTTAGAATTCAAGTTATTAAAAACTTAGTAAAAACCAGATGTTGTATCTGAGCCTTACTTTCCTAAATCAATGAGATATACAGTGCAAAATTATAGTGGTAGATTGACAACAAACTGGACACAGGTATTCCTGGTGCCAAAACCTAGAAGAATAGGATGCATGTTACTCATGGTGAAATGATGCACATAGATACTGCTGTCAGATAGAAGAATAAAACATGGGGTGGCAACTTATCACAGACACCTCTTCCTCTGAGAATAAACCTGTTTAGCTGGCAAAGGTTTCTGTGCTTTAGTGAATGATATATGGAGAGTTTGCTTTGATTTAATATACTCTCATAAATTTTTTCAGTGATATAGGAACAGTCAACCTTATCTCTGCAGTCTTCTAGCAAACGAAACTTTTGATCTTTTCAAGACTTAAAGCTTGATGGTAGCCACAGTAAAGGCAGAGGGAGTCTTTGACTTTGCCTCTATGGGCTTCATAGCAAATCCATGTTAGGTAGAGGTTGTATGTTCTAAGTTCAGGTGAGTTGTATGACTGGTGGAAGTGTGCTGGAAGAGATGTTTTCCCATGTGTGAACTGTAGTCACACTTCTCCATGTGATTTTTCTAGTGGAAATTGTGGATTCTGTGGAAATCTACCTCAATCTCCTTCGAAGTATCTTCGACTTCAATGCGATCAGAAATTTGCTGACTGGACCCAACCAGATTAAAATAAGGATTGATGCCATGAATGGAGGTATGAACTTAAGTTGCTATCAGGGCAGAATTGTTGGTACACTGAAATAGCTTTCCTATGAAAATGATACACTGCACTGTTCTCCCAATAACAGGACAGTATATAAAAGTCAGACTTTTATGTAAAGTTAAGGGTAATAAGAAAGGATTAATGTTATACTACTAACAAAGGCAATCTTAACAACAAATTAGATCCCTTACTAGGCAAAAAGGTGTATCTTACTTAATAAGTGAAGGCATATGGGTCCAATAAAAGTTCTCTTTCTGCATTTGGAGGCAAGCAGGATGAGGTAATCTTGACATGAGAGGGTGATGAAGTATGTTTCTATGTGCAGTGACCAAGTAGGTTACAACGCAGCCTTTTACTAAGAGCAAATTCTAAATGGTATAAAACTAGTTAAATCTGAATAAGTTGCACCCAAGAGTCCTTCAAGAGTTGTCTGAGACCTCTGTCTTACTAATGTTAAAGGTGAAAAAATTTCAGTGTATTGGAGGCAAATTGAAAGCAAGTGTCACAGAGGACAGCAAGGAGACCAATGTGCTGATACTAACAAAATATAAGGTGCATCACTTGCGGAACTACAAATTAGTATGAGATCTCTCTTAGGCTATATTATGAAAATATAAAATAAAGGCTTCTACAAATAATGACTTGAAGGATAGGAATGTAAGACTGTTCAACATTATCTTATGGAAAACAATTCCATCAAACAAACCAGGTTTCATTCTTTAATTGGACTACAAAATCAGACTGCTAAAGGGAACTGGATGGACTCACAAAACTTCTGCAAAGCATTTTATCTAGTACAGTGTCAGTCACTGTTCAAAAGATCACAGTGCATTCACAGTCAGTGTGAACACCCAAGATCACAGGCTGGCCAAGGATTATAGTCTGCATCCAATCATTGAGAACACCCAGTTTTGCCAGTCTGTGGCAAAAGGGCATACGGTGTCCGTGAACAAGGCAGAGGGAGCAATGAGGAAAGCACTGCCTCCTGCCATGTGTAGTATTGGAGAGAATGTTACTCAAATATATTGTAGAGCTCTGATGTCCAGATCTGTTACTGAGTGTTAAAAATGTTTATATGTGGTCAAAAATATGGATAATCTGTTTTGGGGTTAGAAAAACTGATGCATCATAAAAATTTTACAGGACTGAGTTTATTTCATTTATTTATAAGGTAATAGAGAATTGGCTTTATGACCTTGCATCTTGGTGGAGAAATATCCATAATATAATATACAGTACACATAGATTAAGTGTATACAAGAATTTCTTTAAACAACAAAGAAAATAGGGTATTTTTTTCTTCAGAAAAAATATTAATCAGTCTTCTATTCCCAAAAAGAAGCCACAGAGAGAAGCTGAGTCTGGGCAAATTCATATTGAAATGTCACTCACATGTTTATGGGTAACAGTCAATAACCAGAATAGCATTTTGTTTTTATTCTAGTGAGAAGAAACCCTCTATGTGTTTGATAATTTCTTTACATAATTATGGGTAAATAAAAAGCGCATCTTTCAACATTCACTGATTACTTTTTCACTTCCAGTAGTGAAGAATTATGTTTTTCATGACATTCCAGCTAATGATTTACTGGGGGGACAATCACACACTCCTCTGTGACATAATCATTTGGGTTTTGTTGCTAGGACAGATGTATAGAATTGCTGAGTGTATGTTTTGTATCAGATCTCCATGGTGCTGTGAAAAATCTGAATGTCAGGCATACGCTTTTGTGATTGCATGGCAGATTTCTGTTTTCACAGTTATGGGACCTTATGTGAGAAGAATCTTGTGTGATGAATTGGGAGCTCCTGCAAATTCTGCCATAAACTGTATTCCTCTGGAGGACTTTGGTGGACATCCTCCTGATCCAAATTTAACGTATGCGACTGCCTTGCTGGAGGCTATGAAGGGTGGCGAGTATGGATTTGGAGCTGCATTTGATGCTGATGGAGTAAGTATTTTGATCTGTCTCGAGGTTTCACCATAGTTGTGGTTTTGTCTGGGGTCAGATATAGGACATGTAAGTATAATTTATTTGCTTTTCAGTAAGCCCTTGAAGCTGAAAGCAGTATTACTTTCAGGTACAGATGGTAGCATTTGCAACCCATAAATCAGACACATATGCTGTAATTTATCTCTGCAGATAGCTTCAAATCAAGCAGAATTTCAAGACAGAATGAGAATTCTTTAAATATCAGGCTGGTTTTTTTTTGTACTTGTGTAACTATTATTCCCTAGTTAGGAAGAGAGCATATATTGATAATAAATACTGGTCGCAGTAAGCAGTAACAATGCTAAGTCCTTTTTGGCTAGCATCATAAATTAAGGGATTTTTAGCCAAATAAAGCCCTGAATCATAATCTCTGTTTCTTTTAATTTTATAATGTTATATTATCAGCATTGTAAACAGCAAAATATTTCAGAAACAACTTTCTGCTATGACAGAGTGGGAGAAGGATGAAAAGCTCCTGAAGAACAGAAGCTGTTTTCTGTTGTCAGTAAACACAAAACACCCTCCTACTCCCCTAATTGTGCGTGTCATTGGCAAAAAGATTCTCCTACGCAAGCATTCTCTTGGCAGAAACAGAGGTACTGAAGTGTCATGTAGTAGGCTGAAGCTAGAGACTGATCTGGAGTTTTGATTTGCAAGGCAGGAGGGAGTGATGGTGTGACAGTGAGACTATAACTTGCCAGGATGATGCCAGTAAATTATTCTTCCAAAGAGGGATGTGAGTAACCCAACTGTTCTTTTTCATCTCTACCTACAGTGGATCTAGTAAAAGAAATTACCACTCCCCAATACATGGAATTTAAGAGGCTTTTTTGAATTGCTTTTCTTCTCCAGGACCGCTACATGATCCTCGGCCAAAATGGTTTCTTTGTAAATGCATCAGATTCATTGGCTATAATTGCTGCCAATCTATCTTGCATTCCATACTTTTGTCAGATGGGTGTCCGAGGATTTGGCAGGAGCATGCCTACCAGCACAGCCCTTGACAAGTAAGATGAAACATTGTTTGTATCAGTTGTGTCACCTTGATCATTACATTGGTTATATCTATTTTTTATTGCATAGCAATTCCAAAATTGTGAATTATTTTGATAAGAGCTTCTAAGTTTAACAATCTTTATGTGCTTTATTATTTTAACTAGTTTTGATGACATTTTGATTTTACCTAGATTAATTTTACCAGTCTTTACTTGCATGAAAGAGTTTAATTCAGTCTGGAAGAGAGCTAAATAGATTAAATCTAATCCACAAACTTTTGACTAGTAATTGCTTTTCCGAAAAACTTTACTCTTTTTAGAAGTAAACAGTCATTTACAGCCTAATGTAGCAGCCCTTCTTATGGAAGTTACAGAAGTTTAAACAGATAAGAGTACAAACAAGATGAGTACATGGAAGTCTAAAACAGATGAGTACAAACTCGGTACTAAACAAGTATTAAAAAACGCTGAAACCCCTCCTCTTATTACAAGAAGTTGAAACATATAGTCTGTTACAATGCAAAATGTCCCAGAAGAGTCTGCAGGCAGTCACAAAATCCATTCCCAGTTTCAAGGCAGATTAAAAGTGTGTCTAAAATCATTTCTAACAAATCCAATCTGCTCTTTAAAGATTTGCTGGATAAGCATCTTGTGTTAGTTAGTAGCTGAATTTTGAACAAGTCTCATCCAGGCCTACGTTTTCTGTAAATACCAGGATAAGATGTTTAAGCTAAATATTATTGCCTTACATATTCTGTGTGGA